TATATACATATATACATATATATATATACATATCACAATTTCTTTGAGCTGCTGTAAAGTTTGTGTTGTTTTTAGTTGGTGAAAATGTGATCTTGTTTTTCCTGATCTGAACATCGATTAACTTGGCCTGTCAGTCAAAAATCCTTTGTGATTCAAAGAGCTGAGAGTTCTCTGACTGCTGCTGCATTATTGATACAGATGAAAAAAAATAAAGCACTCATCATTCTGGATGTGACTTCTGTCTCGGCTGCCTTCTTCAACGGTCTGACTGAAGTAAAACCTCTTCCATTGTTTTCTGTTTCCAGTAGGATTTTCTAAATTGATCTTAGGCAGTCCCATTTGCTTTGATAAACATAAAAATACAACCAAACCTGACACAAATTAATACTGTATCAAGTGTAAAAAAAGATTTTTTTATGTAGGGCAGCGTGAAACGGTCACATTTCCTAGGAGCTACATTTCTTATGGGTTTTAATACACTTGGGTGTTTGTGTTAGACTCTAAAGGATGAGGAATGAGCAGCTTGTAGAAATATAACTCAGACCCGTACCACTGTCCCCTCCCTCTGTGCATCCTGTCAGTTGTTGTTGCTTGTGTCTCTTGTGCTTAGTATGCACAGGAGCAGCTCTCCCTCTGGACCTCATCAGATGCAGCAGAATGCAGTGATCAGAGGATCTCTACGTATTTTATTTACCCAGTGGGAGCAATTCAACTATCTCATCAGTAGCTCTCTGGGAAGTAAACAGAAATGAAACAAGAAAGGAGGAAAATTATTCCACTGTGGCAGTGCCATTAGATATAGGCTTACAAGAAGCTGAACTCTACTTTGGTTTGGATGAGTTTCATTGGGTAAGCACATGCAGTGCAATCAACACAATACAGTAATGTCAGATGTTGGAAATCCGTGGCAAGAGCAACTATTTAGTCATAGAAGAAAATGTGATAAACATGTCACTGCTTGTTGGTCATATATGGTCAGTCGAAGACTAGAGCATGTGTCAATCGCAAGTTCCGCGGGCCAAACGTGGCCCGCCACTGCATTTTATGTGGCCCACCGGAGCTTCAAAGATGTAGCAATGTCTTAAAATGAGCTCATGTTGCTTTAAGGCCAGAATTGAACATGAACGTCATCTCCTATAACGCATGTAGATGATTTTACCTGTGAAACAGCAGAATCCCACCAGTAGGTGTAGAGGGTTCAAAAGTAGCCGGCGGCCGGCAAAAATGAAGCTAAATGGAGATTTTAAGGGACAAATTTCAGCTGATTTGGCTGCAGTCAAGTTGTAATGTGAAGTGGGAGTTTCCCACTTACAAGTTGTACATTTAAAGTGGAACACCCCCTCTAGTGCTCTGTTGGAAAGTGGGAGCAACTCTCATCTATCCCAGTTCAGAATTAAAGATGTTTGCTACTCACCACAACTCAACAGTGAGTAAAACTCTTACTTTTACTATTAATTGTATTTTTGTATTATCGTATTTATTCGTGTTTAATACAATCTCATGTATAATACGACCCCACCCCCTTTTTGAGCTTAAAAAGCATAAAAAAACTTAATCCTCAAACTACCTCCAATTTCATACAGACTTCAACATTTTTCAGCCTTTCCAGTCTTTATACATATCAGTAAAATGATCATTGGACTGTTCATTTTATTTTAAGAACATATGTACTAAAAGGTATTTTGACAACAAATACAGTATATATCAGCTGTAGCAGCATCATATGAATTCTGGCATTTTACACATAGTCCACCACGAAGCGCCAACACAAAAGTCAGAGACTTCACATGAGATTTGGGCCATCTTCTGGGGGAAAAGCAGATTACTTCCTACTTGCGAGCGCCCCCTCTGGTGGGGAAACTTTTCAGGGACACAAACTTTTTCAGAACACCGGTAGACAGCACCCATCACAGACGAACATGTTTGTTGTTGTTCGAGGAGCAGCCCGGTCACACGCTAATGTCATTAGTTTGTTATCATCACTGAGGTGCAGGAATACTTTTCCCCCCTTTTTTTCACATCATGTCGTCTGCTTGGAACTGTTATTATCTCGCTCTGAAGAAAGGAGGAGTGTCAGAGGTGAGAGGTGAGCTCGTTTCAACTGCTTTTCACGATGTGGTCTCGTATCTGGACTCAGGCATTTTGTGAATGAAGCCGATTCAGTTAAAATACATAAGTAAAAATATATATCCGAGTACAATACTACCCCCAACTTTATGGATGATTTTATGGATTATTATTTACATACTTGAATAAATACGGTATTTATTTCACATTTAGTCAGTTGTGCACGTATACACAGTGTTTATAAGGAGGCATGTTAAAACCTTGTTTCTATGCAGAAAATACCAGGTAGAGCCCAGTTATTGTTTGTTAGCAGTGCTCAGCCGTAGCAACGAGACGAGGAATCTGATGTTTCGTGTTTAGCTGAAGTTAAACACGAAACACCAAAGTTATTTACAACTGGCCCTTTGAGGACCAAGCACAACATCCGTATTTTCAAAATAATTCACCAAAGGCAGACTAATTTCATCGAAATCCCAACTATATTAACAAATATATGGATATATTTATACACAAACCCTGTAAAAATGTATCGTTCTGTTACACGTGGATTTTATTTTGACATCAGAAGTTTCAAAAAGCAGTGATGCGGTTTCAGCTGTGTTTAGAGTCCATCTTCCACAGAATAAATTATATTTGCTCTGACTTCCATGCTTATCATTGGATTTATCAAGCAATCTGGC